ATGGCAAAAAAAAAAACATCATAGACAACAAAAAAAAAAAAAAAAAAAGAAAAGAAAAGAAAAGAAAAAGAAAAAGAAAAAGAAAGGCAAGCAAGGAGTGATGGTGTCCTCTCCACATCCACCTCTGTGTGTTCCGACATTGTCTTCACAGAGTACCTCACACTGCCCAGAATCTAATAATAGGGCCCAGAACCTAAGTGGTAGGTATCTCATGTGACAAAGAGCCAGAAATCCCTATAAAGGTTCTCAAGATAAACAAGTGCTAGAGTCAGAGGAGCCTGTTAATTTATCTTCTTCAAATACCGGGCAGGCAGCAACTTTGCCTAGGATATCTGCTGACACAGCCACTGTGCCAGTGAAGCAGCGATCTTGGGGGTGCCATTCCACTTTCCCTTACCACTGAAAATGCCCAATTTCAATCGCCCAGACCTTCCTTGGTTCTCTTTTCCCTGGTAGGAGGATTTACCCAGGCAGACAGGTTCCTAAACTTTTCAAATCACAGATCATCTCAGTACTAACTTTCACAGTGGCCCAAGCCACGAGAAATTCCTGTGAATTCTATCTATTAAGTAGTTAGATACGAACAACCTAATGGCTATCATTAATGTAGCAACTTAACACCATTTGAAAATATAATACATGATAATTACAAGAAAAATTAATATTTTTATTCTGTTCTTAAATCACTACCACTACTTGCTAATGGGGGATGCGGGTGCTGGTACAACCTCGCACACCATGAGATGTATTAGACGTCGCCAAGCTCCTTTCCTGGTCCACACTGATTTTTACCCACTTGTTACCATGGCACCCACCAAATCATCAACGTGGCAAAACTATGCCATCATTAAAAGAAACTGAGTACAATCCAATATTAAAACTGGGAATTACCTAGAGGTAGTAGTTTGCACAGTTTTTGACAGGTATTACTGTGTTTCCCTTGAAATTTTAAAAGACCCAGCAGGCAGGAAGTACCTCTGTGATTTGGCAGTGATGATCCAGAGTACCCAGGCAAATATTTAGGGAGTGAGGTTTTCTAAGTCCTTGGCTTCTGCCAAGTGGAAAGATCATTCCCTAACTAAAAATTCCGAAATCTGGATTTAGTCTCTGTGTTCTTCAGTCACAAATGAGGGGACTGGGTGAGAACATCTCCAGAGTTCTCTTCAGATCTAGAATAGTAAGGTAAGGGGAAAGCGGGTCCTTTCTCATTCTTCATGAGTTGAGAAGCAAAGTCAAGAAGAATATTTATGTTCCAAAAGAAAACGGCATACGTCTGGGAACTACCCTGCGGTATGGCCTGAGGGAAAGGCTTCTGCAGGAGGGTATGCTCAGGTACCAGCTGAGATAGCTAAGAACCTGCAAGAGGTATCCGCGTAGGGTACACTGAGTGACAATGCTGCTAGCTCTACTACCGTTTCCCCCGGTCTTTCCGTGGCCCCTTTTCATTCTTGCTCAAACTCCCCCCCACACTTTTTTTTTTTTTTTTTGCGGCTTTTGGCCGGGGCCAAGTTTGAACCCACCACCTCCGGAATATGGGACCAGTGCCCTACTCCTTGAGCTACAGGCGCCCCCCTCCCCACCCCTTTTTTTTGAGACATAGTCTCAAGGCCTCAGCCTAGATCACAGAAATCTCAAACTCCTGGGCTCAAGCAATCCTCTTGAGCAATCCCCCCTGAGTAGCTGGGACTACAGGCGTCTACTACCACGCCCAGCCTGAAACTCCTTGACAAATGGCTTATATTAGGAAGTGACTAGCTATTACTAGGTGATAGTCTGTGACTGTGAAACAGACTGAAATTACCTGTCATGATTGCAGATCGAACATACCAGCGAGCCTAAAGCGCACCAAATTTAACGGAGCTAACCAGGCCCACACACTAAAAACACAAAATACAACATTTATAAACAGGAGACATTTCCTTAGATATTTTCAGCATGTTACCAACCATTGTGTTTTGAGTGAACAGTCTATAAAACTTTTTGGTTTTCATTTGATGATGTTTTTCTTTTTGCGATTAGTTTTACAAAGATGATTTAGAACTGAAATATATTTGCCAGGTATGGAGTACCCTGTAAGCAAAAGTAAACACTGAAATGAATGGAACTTCTCTGTCCAGTTTGGAAGGGGTTAAGATGAAAAGTCTCTAGA